GGCAATGCGGGATTTCACTTCATACTCTCCCTCATGCCTAGGGTGCAAGGCTTGAGACATGCACCCTACGCTTCCCTGTGGTACGTCCAACTCTTATACCACCATGTGCTACTATCTTGAGCAACTTTACAAGCTAGCTTGTCGAGTGAGGGTGCCCTCAAATACATATATATATATATATATCACATATCCTTTTTGTATCAAGGTAATGTGGGACTTCGCTTCACATAGGTAACATCAGATTCTCTAAATTAAACACCACAAAATGGGAGCTATGGTGTAGCAACAAAACATTCTAGCCTCATAAATAGACACTATGCTCATCCATACATTCACAATGCCAGGTCAATCACTAAACTTTTTACAAACATCAGATGTGTCTGTTTTTTGTTAAGTAACAAAAAAAAATTATTCAAAAAAACTATTGAGGGAATGCCACCCAAGTACAAAAAGGACCAAGAAAACAAAAGATCATTATACACTGCTAGTATGAAAAGGCTTTATGAAATCCACAAATTGGTCAAGAGAAGGGTTAGCAACACCCTATGAAGCATGGGTACTTCGAAAAACATGCTATACCCATACCGGATACTTACTGGCGTATGGTACTGCGTATGGTACTTCTGCATACGTACCGGGTACACGAAACATGTATCGAAGTTTTTTCTTCTTATTTTGGTGTACCCAGACGTATCTAGTATATACCCAAGCCGTGTCGTACTGTACCGTACCGTACCACAGTTGAAACAATATTTTCTTCTACTACAGAGATAAAACTCCATTCACTAGACTTCTTTTTTATTTTTTGTTTTATGCTGAGCATGATTTTAAAATTAAACTATGGTTTGGAAGTTATTTAATATATTGACATTTAGTTTAGTTTTGATTTATACATTTACTTTTAGCATTAAATGTTAATTATAGGTTGGACCTTAACAAATTAAACCATTTAATTAATTTTTGCATTGCTCTAAATTAAAAATAAACATTTTTTTACAAGTGTATCAAGCCGTACCCGTATCCTAATTTTTTTTGAATTTTACTGTATCAACATACCCGTATCGTACCAGTACCAGTACTCGTATCTGTACCCATACCCGTGTTTCAAGGCGACACCTGACTCTCAACTATACATAGAACTTACGAAGTATACTTTTTAACCTATACAAAGGACTTTTTTCTACCGTCAAAAGACCTCTGATTCCTTTCTCCCCAAACAATCTACATAATACATAAGGGAATCAATCTCCACACCTTCTTGCTCTTGTTTGCGATCCTAGCACCAAGCCAACAATGCAAAAGATCCTCAACTCCAATGGGGACTAAGAAAGAACTGAGGACCAAAGCTCTTGAGCCATTTGACAACGAATTAAAAGATGGCTCACTGAATCACCCTCCCTTTTACACATATAACACCAATTCACCAAAATATGTCTTCTTTTGATTAAGTCGTCAATAGTAAGAATCTTTCCTTGGAGCTGTACACTAAGCAAGAAAAGCAACCTTATGATGGACCCCACAATTCTAAATGGATCTCCACAGCAAATAAGAGATATGCCTTTCTCACCAAGCTTCATAAAAAGATCTAACCTGAATAATCTCAATTTAGAAAGATTCTATCTCAAAGAGTCATCTTTTGTCTCAAGGTGGACCGTCTATATAGCTTCTTCCAAAGCCTCATCAACTCGGCTATCTCCTAATCCTTAGTCTCCCTTCAAAGCAAAATTTTAATCTGCGAAAACAATTTGCAATTGAAGCACTCTGATATGTTGCAATCCCAACACCACTGGAAAAGCATCTTGGAGTCTTTCTATGCCAAACCAAAAACGTCACCCTCCCATCCCCCACCATCATGGTAGAATTGCCCAGAAACTTGTCCCACCCTTAGTTGCACAAAGCGGGGGTGGGGGCGATTCAGAGGAGCAAAGGTATGTAGAAGTTTTTAAGGCTAGAAACGCCTATGGGAGTGTGTATATATATGTTATATATTAAATATATAAATATATTCTAACAATTATTTTTTTTGCTTAGTTATAATATTTATGTTAAAATATGAACACATATTAGAGATTGATATCAATTACGAATTATCTTTGTTAAGTACAAATAAATATTATGTAAATAGAAATTACTAAAATAAGTTTGAGTTTTTATTTATACTTATTTTTTATTTTATATGTGAGATTTATATGTTTGAGAGATTCTATCTCAATTAGAAGCGAGTTTTTTTTCCTCGACGGGAGCAAGTTTCTTACAAGTTTCGCTCAAAATCACGTTTTTGAGTGAGAAACGTCATCGAAGTAGGAGTTCTTGCTACCAAAGTCCCAACATTTCCCAATACCTTTCGAAGGCCTACCTAAGACACATAATTATCAAGAGAGGTCCAATCGCCCTAACTCCTCTCATATTTTGAAGTCACCACCTTTCACTACTTCTCTTAACTACAAGAAAAACTCCATAACAACTTACCTAATAATGCCTGATTAACGATTTCAAGCTTCCTAATACCTAGGCCTCCTCATTGATAGGAGCACAAATTGTGTCCTAATCCCCCAAATGGTTACTTAAACTCCTTCCGTAGGCCACACCAAAGAATTGTTAGAATAGGAAATATGTGATTGTATTTTCTTCTTGTTTATTCCCTTGATTGGTGTAATGGGTTGACCCATATATTATGCCTTATGGCACTCCTATAATTACTCAGTATTATTAATATAAAAGGGAATGAAATCTATCTCATTCCCTAACTCTTTCTCTTATTTAAACCTACATGGTATCAGAGCCAGTGGGAGAAACCTAAGCACGGTCACCTTCTTCCACCGCAGGACTGCCCAGGCCACCCAGACCATTGCCTGGGATAGTCGACCCCCACCCAGGCCAACCGAAGGAAGTTTCTGGCCATTCGGCCCTTGCCCAGTTAAGAAGAAGGTCAATCGGCTCTTTCCCAGGCCAGCCAAAGCTTCCTCTGTCCTCTTCTAGGCCTATCGGCAGTCCTAGCTTGTCATCCTAGGTCTGTTGGCAAACCTGGAGGCCTTTTCTGTCTCTCTCTAGGCCATTCGGTAGCCTCTGGTTGGTCGACGGGGCCTTCATTGCCTTTGTTGACTACTGCCTTATCAGTCTGAGTGCTTTTCTTTTTCGTCTTTCATTTTTCTCTGTTTTTCTTCTCTTTTAAAACAAAAGGAAAAACAAAAAAGGGGCAGTAAGAGAGGGGGGGGGGGAACCCTTAATTCTTTATGCTTTTATAGGCGTAGTGGTGTCTTTTCTTCTACTATTATCTTTCGGGTTTGTGATTGGCATTGTGCTTGAGAGTTAAATAGTAGAGTATCCATGACAAATTCCCTTAGTGAGTTCACTACTTCTCTGCCACCTAAGGGCGAGAGTACCATTATTCCTACTACTATGACTGATAACCTTAACCATAGCCATAAGATCACCACCTCTCTATTCAATAGTTAGAATTATCTAGCCGGGTCGCAGAGTTTGACTATTTTTTTGAAAAGCAAAGGAAAGATGGGGTACGTTGATGGACGGATACAGACACCTAGTACCACGGATCCTAGTTTTGACCAATGGGAGATCACCAACTCCCTAATCATGGGTTGGTTGATCCATTTTATGGTACCTGAGATTGGAGAGGGCTACCTGTCTATGGACATTGCCCAGGATATTTGGGAGGCTATAGTTACTACTTACTCCTGGAAGGGGAACTTCTTACAGGCTTTTGAGTTACGTCGCTCCATTGAAAGGTCGGTACAAGGTGAGATGACTATCCTCTAGTATTTTACCTTCCTTAGCAATGGGTGGAAGCGGCTTGATCACCTCCAGGATTACAAGCTTGTCTGTCCCACTGATTCTGCTGGTTACCGGAAGTTTGTGATGCAAGAACGGGTTTTCAAGTTTTTGGAAGGCCTAAATGTAGAGTATGATCCGGTTCGGAGTAGAGTACTTGGCATGGATGTGCTTCCTTCTCTCCAGGAAGCCTTTGCTTTTGTGTAGAATGAGGAGAGTTGCCGCGTTGCGATGCTTCCTTTTGCTACTACTGATCGCTCGGCCTTGGTTTCTGCCACTTCTCGCGCTGGCGACCATGTGACTCGTGGTTCTCGTCCTTCCTCTGAGAAGGGTAATCTTTTCTGTGACTACTGTTGTAGACCTCGCCACACCCGAGAGACTTGTTGGAAGCTGCATGGGACTCCTTCTGGTGGCCGCAGAGGTCGTCCTGGTACTTGAGGGGGGCGGTCTAGCATGTCTAGAGGCCGAGGGGCCAATGCTCGGGCCCATCTTTCAGACACGGTGTTGCCATCATCTTCCTTTCCAGTTGTCTCACCTGCTGCTGATGTTTCGGGATTATCTGTCTCGGATTTTGAGATTGCTCTTTGCCACTTGCTAGACCATCGAGCCTCCACTTTTGCTCTAGGTGCACCTCCTTTTTCCTTTGCCAATTCAGGTAACTTAGCTTTCTCTCCATGTGCATTGCTATCTCATACGACTGTACCATGGATTATTGATTCTGGTGCTTCTGACCATGTCTGGCTCCTCTAATTTATTCTCAGAGTATAACCCCTTCTTATGTCAAGAAATAGTACATATTGCTGATGGTACTATTTTGTCTGTGCTAGGAAAATGTTTAATTTATGCCACCTCTTTCCTTCCTTTGTCCTCTGTATTCCATGTTCCCAATTTTAGTGTTAATCTTTTATCTTTGAGTTGTCTTAGGCCTCGTTTGGGAACAGGCTAATTTAGTAACTTTTTGGCTATTTGGCTAAAATATGAGCTAAAAAAAACTAGTATGTTTGGGATGACTTTTTTGGCTTTTTACGAAAAGATATGAAAAAAGTAGAGAGAAAAGAGAATCTTTGACTTTTTGGTATGGGTTGTTGGCTTTTTTGCTAATTTAATAACTTTTTGGCTTTTTGACTAAAAAGAAGGGTTCCCAAACGAGGCCTTACTCGTGATTTAAATTGTAGCGTGACGTTTTTTTTCCTGATCGTTGTCTTTTTCAGGATCTTATCACGAAGAAGAGGATTGCTAATGGTAGAGAGGAACATGGTCTCTACATTCTGGATTAGACATACCAGTGTTTTTTAAGGCGAAAAGCGAACCGAGGCGACAAGGTCTCCTAATGCTTAAGCGCGAGGCGATAAGGCAAGGTGAGGCGAGGGCTTCATCGAATTGAGGCGACCAAAAATGATATTTTTTTTAAATAAATGGTATAGACAAAAATATAAATATTTTCAAGAACCATAATGCAGTTATCATTCCAAATGCTAAATATCCATAAACAAAAGAAAATATCCAACAAAGACAAATACAATCCACCCATCCAAAAGTTCTAAAAATCATCTTCAACATCAAGCAAATGAACTTCTTCTTCATTATCATTGGCTTCAGCATATCCCTCTGCATCTTCTTCCTCTCCCCCATCTGAAATTAACTCTTCCTCATCAATAAGTTGCAATCTAGGTCTAGATTTTGGAGTTGAACAACCCCTTTCTATTGCCCTTGTTGATCTAGTTCTTTGGCTACTTTCCTCAACTCCAGCAGTTCTAGCAACATTATCCCATGTCAAAGTATCATCCTCAAAGACAAGTTCCTCCTCCATCCTCCCAACCAACCACTCGTTACTTTCATCAATATCCGTCAAAGCAATGGGATCAATAGTGTCACGGGAATTGTATCGACATCTCAATGCTCTATTATACTTGACAAATACCAAATCATTCAGACGTTTTTGAGCTAACCTATTTCTCTTTTTGGTGTGAATCTGCAAAAATTCAAACCAAATAAAAATATTAAAATTTTTATCTAGGTATTAATAAATTTATTGGTATTCATATTCACTATAGTTAAAAATAGGTACTCACATGTTCAAACACACTCCAATTCCGCTCACATCCAGATGAGCTACAAGTTAGACTAAGAATTTTGATGGCGAATGTTTGCAAATTTGGCGTTTCAGAACCATATGCACTCCACCAATCAGCTGTTGATTATAACTAATTAATTAGAAAGAATATTTAAAATATAAAAAACTAACTAAAATTACTTAAGCATAAAATATAGATCACCTGGTGCCCTTGTAGTTCTTTGTCTAATGGCCAAAGCCATCCCAAAGAGACCTTCAGCTTTCTTATAGGTAGTCAACTCTGCGCAAACTTTATCTTATGTCTCATTGTTTGGGACCAACCTTTGTATGCATTTATACAGGCCTGACATGACTTCCTTATCTTTCTCAATATTCGGATTTGCGTAAAAATACTCTGGGTTTAAATAATACCCAGCTGCATGCAAAGGCCTATGCAATTGAACATTCCATCTATTGTCAATTATTTCAAAAAACTCCTTGTACTTCTCTTCATTTCCATTAAATGATTTTGCAATGGCTTCTTTAGCCCTATCCATTGCCTCATAAATATATCCCATGGGAGGCTTTCTCTCACCATCAACCAATCGCAACACACGAACAAGAGGACTTGATATTTTGAGAGCATAAAGACCATTGTTCCAAAAAGAAGGCATTAATATGACTTGTGCGGTCTTTTTACCCTGTGGTTCCTTCGCCCATTTGCTTGTGGTCCATTCCTCTGAAGTGAACATCTTCTTCAAGTTGGTTTGTTGTTGATGAATCCTTGATAAAGTTAGAAAAGCAGTTGCAAATCGAGTTTTTGCTGGCTTAATCAAATCCTTGCACTGGGTAAATTGCCTCATCATATTCAACAAACCAGAGCAGTTCACAATATAACCATGCACCGCAATTGCCTTTTCAAATGTCTTGTTGAAGTTGGGAATTTTGAAAATGTCCTCCAACATCAAGTCCAA